GTTTTGTTTTTCTCTGGCTCCTCGTGTTTTGTTTTTCTCTGGCTCCTAGTGTTTTGTTTTTCTCTGGCTCCTCGTGTCTTGTTTTTCTCTGGCTCCTCGTTTTCTCTGGCTCCTCATGTCCTCGTTTTCTCTGACTACTCGTTTTCTCTGGCTCCTTGTGTTTTGTTTTTCCTCTGGCTCGTCGTTTTCTCTGGCTCCTTGTGTGTTTTTTTCTCTGGCTCCTCGTGTCCTCGTCTTTCTCTGGCTCCTGGTTCTCTGGTCCCTGGTGTTTTGTCTTCTCTGATCCTCGGTCCCTAAACCCTTGCAGTGCCACCCTCAACCCGCCCTAGTCTTTCGGGAGGGGGGTTTTTTGGGGACGCCTGGAGGCGTCTTTGGGGGGGGGGGGTACTGTAAGGACGGTACTTTTCTGTGGCCCGGTTTGTGTCTGTTTCCCTCGTGCTTCCTCGTTAGTTTCCATTGTTGCCACCTGCGTCTCGTCTCCTGACAGTATTTAAGCAGTCCTATTCTGTCTTGTCCTTTGTCGGGTCGTCTTCGTTGGTACTCTCCCTTGGTCTCCTGAGTCTTGTCCTGTCTGTCCTGAGTCTTCCTGGTCCCTGGAGTTCCCCGTGTCTCTCTTGTCGCCTGAGTTCCTCGTGCCTTGTTCATGTAAGTTTTGCTGCCCCGTAAGCTTGTTTATTTTGTACTTTTATTTATCATTAAAACATATTTTTTGTATATCTGCCGAGTTGAGTCCCTGTTCTGCACTCTGGGTTCGCTGCTAACCGCAAACTACGACATGTTGTTTTTATTAAGTAAAACGTGCCAAGTTTTATTCATCAGAGCAGATCAGAATAATCAAGTGTACAATATTTTGATGTTAAATTTTGATTCTGTTAATAAATGACCACATTCATTTTGATGGGTCAAAGAAAATTAACGTCTCATGTCACTGATTAGACCATCTCCCAAACAGTATCTCTGTCACATATATGTCAAGTAGCTAGAAAAAGAGAGAACCCGTTATTAAATATTGATTGTAGTGAAGCTCCTAAGCTAACCTAACCTATCTCACTACACCAGACAAACGGAGAACCCCTAAGGGGCTGTACCCAATCATTGAAATCCTAGATGGAAGCTTATTGGTGTAGCCAGCTGCCAGAGAATGTACACCACCACCCCCTCACAACCCACTCTGGATGGGGGCAGAACTTGAAATCGCCTCTACGCCAAGAGGAGATATTGACTCAGAAAAAAGACAGAAAACCCTCAGCTCCACCTCCTCCTCTGTGTCAGGGGAGGAGGTGGAGAACAAGGAAGATAGGAGGAGGGACGAGTTGGATGATCATGTACAGTTATTTCAAGACGTAGAAAAAACACTGCATGAGACTGAGGAACAGATGACCAGAATTAGATTAAAGCTTGAACAGGCAGATAAGCAAAAACAGAATAAAATGAATATAGATGAGACTGGAGTTAACATCTCTCTGGTAGCCAAGGGAAAGGTCACGGAGAGAGAAGAAAAGGGAGGTTTTCTGACAGAAGAAGAGCTTCTAGAAGCATGCGAGGACTTGTTAGCAGATTATGAGAGAGAAGAAAGAGAAGTTTGTGCGGAGTACTGTGAGAAGACACACCCCATGACACTCCGGTCAAGACAGGCGCAGGGAAACTACCCCTTACTGCAGTCAGCAGGAGGGACACTGAAATATGTACATTTTCCCTTGGGAGATAGAGACGCGTTGGTTGATAAGCTTCCTAGTATCTCGGCAGGAGGAAGCTTATGGTTATGTGAGCTGGATGGACTCACGAGAGGAATGACTTTGGCACTAGGAGATTTTAGGGCAATTTTAGGACGTTGTGTCACCCCTATGGTGGAACATGAGTTGGAACGAGCCGCCCACACTGACACTCAGCCAAACCACACTCCTTTAGCAGTGGTAATTACACAATTAGCCAGACAAATTAAGCAACAGTTCCCTTTGTCTACTCCGGCAGCAATATCAAAATTTGAATGGGACCCTAAGGTCCACCCAAAATATTACATCACTCAAGCAGTAGAGATTTGGATGAGACACACAACAGTTAATCCAAAAGGTGAACCGTCTAATCTGACTGAATTGTTCAGAGAAGCAGTTTTGAAGGGAGTACCTGATGAAGTGTCAGAGCTGATGGTGAAAAATCCTGATCTCCCAGGGTGTGAGCATGCTAAGTGGGAAAAACATTTACTACATAATTTGCAGGCGGCACAGGACAAGTTAAAAAAAGAAAAAAGATGAAAGAGCTGACCTAGAAAATCAGCTCCTCAAGTTATAACTTCGGGAAGCACGACAGAAGGTATCAAAGAACAAGGATAACTCTGAGAAAATGATGTTAGCTGCGGGAACAGGGAATGTTTCACAACTTACACACAACAATGTCGCACCTGTGACTAATCAGTATCCTGGAGGAGGATTTGTCTCCTCTCCATATCCCGATCCCTCTTTTCCCTTGTCGTCTTTTCCATTTGCGCGCAGGTCTGGTGGGACTGGACGTGGAAGAGGTTGGCGTGCTGGTGGTCGTGCATGGGGAGGCATGGCGCGTGGACGAGGTGGCTGGGGTGCACCAGGGCAAAGGAACCTACAAGACGAAATCTGTTACAACTGTGGGAGACCTGGCCATCGGGCCAGACAGTGCAGAGCCCCACCCATGCAGGGGAGTAAAGGCGGAGGGTCACAAGGTATGATTCCACACAATCCTGCTAACATACCACCTCCTGCCAGTGGCCAGTACCTGCAGTGGGAAGAAGACGTGTACCAACAATATTGACACACCCCTGAGACCCGGTCAGGTAACATGACTTCTGCAGACCCCATGTTATCTGCCAGAGTGGGAGGTCAACCTATGAACTTTCTAGTGGACACAAGAGCCACATATTCGACTATAAACAGCACCCTCATCAACAGTTTAACATCAAAAACTGTGTCTTTGACAGGGTTCTCAGGGAAAGAGCAGAGTCTGCACTTAACAAAACCATTGACTTTTAACCTAGGGGCCCAGACGTTGCAACATTCTTTTGTCTGCTCCCCATCTACTCCTGTGAACTTACTGGGAAGAGACTTGCTGATCAAGCTGGGAGCTACCGTACTGTGTGGTGCAGATGGGCTGACAGTTTCGCTACCAGATGGCTCCATCATCCATTGCAGAGACTCAATCACAGATGGACAATATTTGTTACACCCTGTCACTCCGGAGTACGCAGACATCTATTGGGGCCAGTTGACACATGAACAGTCGAGCTGTCTCCTGAAAACATTCCAGACCTGGAAGCCCTGGCTCATCAGTATGCGTGCCTACATTTCTCCTGCTGACCTGCCTCACGTCACCCTCTTCTATGACCGGGAACACACAGACTGGTACCAAGAAGCCTTCTCATCTGAACTTGAGGGTAAGACTTGGCAAATTAAAATTGAAAATATTTATGTAGCTCCTGAGGGAGTATCAGCGGCAGTAACACTGACCACTGAACAGCTTAGCTGGTATCAAATGAGTGATATTCAGCACATAAGCAGAGCATCCTGACACATTCAAAACCACTACGGGTGAAAGACATGTTATCTTTCCTTGGACTCACTGGCTATAGTTGTAGCTACTTGCCAGCATACACGGACCTGACTCAACCCTTACGCCATCTGGTCAGGGAACAAGGTATGAAAAATTTGAATAAGTCCACTAACCTGGACAAAAGAAGAAGAAGACGCCTTTACTCGTCTAAAACAACACACGGCATCGGCAGCTGAATTAACCTTACCCGATTACAGCTGTCCTTTCTTCCTGGATGTCTCTGTAACAAAACACGCAATAAATGGGGTTTTGTTTCAGAGAAAAGGGGGAGAGAGGAAAGTATTACAGTACATCTCACTTATGATGAACAACATGGAAAAAAGACATCCTCCATGCAAACAACATGCAGCCGGGATAGCGAAACTGATTCAAAAAACAGCACACATAGTTATGGGCCACACCCCGCAGGTGCTGACAACACATAGTGTGGTTGCCTATGTGAACTCACAGTGTTTTACGATGACAGCTCTTAGACAACACAGACTATCAAGAATCTTAGAAGCCCCCAACATAACATTCTCACATGAGGGAATAAATATGGCAGATTGTGTTGCAGAAGGCGAGCCTCACCAATGTGAAGAGCTGGTGGTCAAGCTGGAGAAAGTGAGGCCAGATCTAGAAGCATCCCCACTTTGGGGAATACAGGTAAGACACTTATTCACAGATGGGTGTTGTTACAGACATCCAACAGAAGGCCTGAAAGCAGGTTATGCAATAGTGGAAAAAACAGATACAAGCTATGAAGTGATAAAAGCAGAACAGCTGGAAGGTGCACCATCTGCACAGACAGCAGAGGTCAGAGCAGTGGTAGAAGCACTGAAACTAGCGGAGAATCAGAAAGTGAATGTTTACACGGATTCCACCTATGTAGTAGGAGCAGTCCATATGGAACTTTGTCAATGGATTAGAGCAGGTGTTTTGACAGCAGGAGGGAAAACCATTTAACACGAAGCAGACATGAAAGAGTTAGCAGAGGCTCTTCTGCTGCCCTTGAGAGTGGCAGTAATGAAATGCAAAGGACATGATAACAGTGACTCTTACACAGCTCAGGGAAATCAAGCAGCTGACAATGCAGCAAAAAGCCACAGTAGGATACTCTCCCTTGATGATGACAGTCGCAGCAGAGGAAGAAATAAAATCCAAACTTACACTTGAATAGGTTACTGAACTCCAAAAGGGGGCGGCACCAGAAGAAAAAGAACATGTGGAGACTAAGAGGGCGACTGAGAAGGAACAGTAATTGATGTACAGACTTGCTTTGCTAGGTCATTTGTGTGTACATAGGAGATTTTAAGTTACAACGCTCTTAATAAGCAAAGTATTTATTTTTCTTCCTTTGAATGTGTACATGACAGATCTCTTAGGGGGATGCCCCTAGACCCAGAAGAACAATGAAAATGTGGTGGATCTGTGTTAAATACATTTGATTTGACATAACTAGACTGGACTGGACTGATAAATTAATTAGGTTCTCATGTATAAAGTGTTTTTAACCACATTTTTACGATAGTCATACATTGTGAAACTTTTGTTTTTGTTTTACCTAAACAGATCTCCGGAGGAGCTATGGCAGAGCTGAATAACTGATTTTGACTTCATTTTATTTTTCCAGCTCCATTTATCAGCAAACTCAATGTTTAATGCTGTATTGTGCTGTTTTGAGGACAGGGTGATCAATGAAAATATATTTTTCTGTGCATGCGTTTACTAAATTCTTTCACACAGGCAGGAGGAAATAAGACAAATAAAATCTATCATCTTAACTAAAAATTAACATCACTCATGCCAAATATTCACCACTAAACTTTGAAACCTTAACTCTTCTGATTACTCATCTTCACTGCATGTGGTAATCACATATTGCTGTGTTTTCTTGTGAAAAATAACTTTGCTTCTTTCAGGAAGATCCAGAGTAAAGGACTCTGGAGAAATCTATCATATCCTTTTTGAAGTTCAGATTTGTAAACATTAAAAAAAGGGATGAAAGTATGAATGGAATGTGGTTTATGTTGTTCTATAAAACCATTATAGTGTAGAAGTAATAATGAAATATTTTATATTGACAAACCCCTTTTAGTGGTAGATATAGAAAATACAGTCACATGCCTTAGAGGGCTGAAATTGTGCTATGTTTGGAGATATGTGTTGTACTTTCATCCCCAACAATACAGGTTCTGACGGGTCAGTGACAAGGGCACTGGAGGGATTGAGGACGCTGAGTGTTCTGGTCGTATGTGGTTGCTGCTGTGTGCCCTGTGCAAGATCACTCGTGCGCTGTATCACCTTGACCATCGAGAAAGGGAGCGGGGATAGACCTTCTGGATATCAGATGTTGTCAACCAGCGATCCTTCAAGCCACACGGAATTTGAGCTCTCCCTGGTGGCATAACCCGAGAACTGCTGACACTGGCTTCACAACCTGTCTCCTAATATGTGTTTTACACCATTTTTCTTTGCTTTAAGTTGATTCTTGTACATATTATAATTACATGTGTTACTTTGCTTCCCCTGCTCCCAAATTACTGTTGAGTATTGGTTTGGATATTTTATCATATTGCTAGCAATAGGAAACTTAGATAAATGCATGTGGCCACATTTTAACTTTTACTGAAACTCTCTCTCTCTCACTCTCTTTCAGTCTGTGACAACGTGACAGAACGATGCCTCTATGAGATGGACCTTAATTGTCCAACCAGTTCGTAGTCATTGTTAAAGACGCAGGCCAACAAGTTGTGGTACTTTTAAAATACAGGCATCCACTGTGCACTTTGTAACCAACTGACAGAGAATTACATTTTTAGACATTGTATTGCGTTTTTTCACTAAGTTGTGCTATATTTATCTTATTAATGGCTCATTTGATTGCAATTGTTATATCATTTAAACAGCAATTTTGTTAAACTTATGACACAGGGTAAGGATGATTGTAAGAGTGCACTGGAACGCCATCTTGGTCGTTGTCACAAGGGGCGTGAGGCGTTGTGCTGTTTTTACCCCGCACCACTACACCGTTGCCCCGGGGATTATTCTGGCACAAGTTCTGGACACTCGTCAGGTGCAGATGTTTGCAGCCAAAGAGGTGGTCCCCTTGGGGGGACCAAAAGGGGGAAATGTTGTATAATGTCATCTTTTTTTGCTATGCTCTGACATGAAATATTTCTCTGTGTATGGTAAAAAAACTGCAAAATCATGATGTACGTCATATAAGTTCATGATCTGAGTAACTCCTTGTACAAAGAGGACCAGACTACTGTTATCTTGCCAGAACAGATCACAGTCAGCTGGGGCAGTGGGCGAAAAAACAAGACCATGCCAGACCACACCCAGGAACATCAGCTGCCCCAGAGAATAACATCATGATAAGGAAATCCCAATGTAAATGATAAGGCTGTATTTAAATGAAGCAAATACATTTGTAACTGAGACGTGTTAGATGGTTGTAAGGTGCATGTGAGACGCCTCCCTTTCCAGTGCTATGAAGGTAAAATAAATCTTTGTCTGAATTCAGAACCACTTCTCAGGCTGTGTTTTTGACTCTGTCTTCCTTCCACTGAACGATCTCAGGTTGAGGCAGTTTTGAGCTGTGTTTGAAAGTTGGTTTTCAATGTTTGATTAAGACTTCAACAATAGATAATTGGAGTTCTTTCTGGGGAAAACCTGGTCTGATGCGGAGAGATGGCATCCATCCCACTTTGGACAGAGCAGCTCTTCTTTCTAGAAATATGGCTGATTTTGTTTATCCCCCTAATTATTGACAACCCAGGGTCCAGTCTAGGAAGCAGAGTTGTAGTCCTCCACACCTCTCTGCTGCTTCTCTCTGTTACCCACCCACACCCCCATTGAAACAGTGTCAACTCGCCCACGGCTCAAATTAAATAAACCAAAAATCAAATCTAAAAATACAAACCATAAAAATCTGATTAAAATAAACACAGTTACTTTACCAGAGCAAAATCATTAAATGTGGATTATTGAACATCAGATTTCTTTCCTCTAAATCCCTGTTAGTTAATGAACTGATAACTGATCATCATATTGATTTATTCTGTCTGACAGAAACTTGGCTACAACAGGAGGATTTTGTTGGTATAAATGAATCCACTCCTGTTAATTATTTAAATTTTCATGTTCCTAGAACAACTGGCCGAGGCGGAGGAGTAGCTTCTATTTTTCAGTCAGGATTATTGATTAATGCCAAATCAGTTATTACTTATGATTCTTTTGAATCGCTGTCCCTCAGTCTTTCTCATCCAAAATGGAAATCAGAAAAGCCACTTTTACTAGTCGTTATATATCGTCCACCAGGCGCTTACTCTCAGTTTTTGTCTGAATTCTCAGAATTATTAACTGACTTATTATTAAATACTGATAAAAATCATCATAATGGGTGATTTCAATATTCATGTAAATGTTGAAAGTGATAGCTTAGCCTTTAATAATTTAATAGACTCATTTGGTTTTACCCAAAACGTCCGCACATCTACTCATTCTTATCATCACACTCTTGATTTAGTTCTGACCTATGGTATAGAGATTAAGGACTTGGTAATAGTTCCTCAAAATCCTGTTCTGTCCGACCATTTCTTAATAAATTTGAGTTTAAATTAAATGACTGCACAGTCACTGAGAGTAAATTTCATCTCAGCAGGTGCTTATCAGAAAATGCTGAAACCAAATTTAAACAATCTCTTCCATCAATGTTTTCCTCTGTCTTGCAGAGTAATGCATCAGAGAACAGAGACTTAGATCATCTAGTTGATCATCTTACAACTTCAATGCAAACTTCACTTGATAAAATTGCTCCACTGAAAAAGAAAGTAAGCAATCAGAGGAAACTGGCTCCTTGGTTCAATTCTGAGTTACGTACTTTAAAGCAGCATCTAGAAACCAGGAGAGAAAATGGCGCTCTACTAATGTTGAAGAATTTTATTTAACTTGGAAAGATAGTCTGCTAACATATAAAAAAGCTCTCCGTAAAGCTAGAACTTTATATTACTCATCTTTAATAGAGGAGAATAAAAATAACACTAGGTTTCTGTTTAGTACTATTGCTAGACTAATTAAAAGTCCCATTTCTGTTGAACCATGTATCCCTACAACTATAAGTAGTGATGACTTCATGAGATTCTTTATAAATAAAATTATTTCAATTAGAGAGAAAATTCAAACCATCCTTCCTTCTACTATCTCTAGTCCCCTGTCAAATGAGAAACTTTAAGAATTTCACTAGAGCCTGATTTATGTTTGGACAGTTTTTGTCCTGTTGAGCTCTGAATTGTTAAAAATAATAACCTCATCCAAACCATCCACATGCCTGCTAGATCCCATCCACATGCCTGCTAGATCCCATCCCAACCAGACTGTTTAAAGAGGTATTTCCCCTAATTAATGTCCACATTTTGGATCTACTTAATTTGTCTTTAATGGATGGTTATGTACCACAGCGCTTTAAGGTTGCTGTAATTAAACATTTACTTAAGAAGTCTGACCTTGATTCAGAAATTCTGACCAACTATAGACCTATATCTAATCTAACTTTCATCTCAAAAATTCTAGAGAAAATAGTTGCAGGTCAGTTGCGTGAACATCTACAAAGAAATAATCTGTTTGAAGAGTTTCAGTCAGGGTTTAGAGCTCATCATAGCACAGAAACAGCACTAGTAAAAGTCACTAATGATATTCTCATGGCCTCAGACAATGGACTTGTGTCTCTACTGGTCCTGTTAGACCTCAGTGCTGCATTTGATACAGTTGATCACAATATTTTACTACAGAGGCTTGAATATGATGTTGGAATTACAGGAACAGCTCTAAAATGGTTTAAATCATATCTATCTGATAGATTTCAGTTTGTAAATGTAAATAATAAATCTTCTTCATACATCAAAGTTAGTCATGGAGTTCCTCAGGGCTCAGTGCTTGGGCCAATACTCTTTACTTTATATATGCTTCCATTAGGTAAAGTTATTAAACAGCATGGGATAAATTTCCATTGTTATGCTGATGACACACAATTATATTTGTCCATTAAACCCAATGAATCCAATCAGCTACTTAGACTACAAGCATGTCTTAAAGACATAAAAACCTGGATGACCCTTAATTTTCTCCTGTTGAACACAGACAAGACTGAGGTTTTGGTTTTTGGACCTGATCATCTTAGGAATGAAATTTTCAGTCTTTCTCCCTCCTTAGATGCATTAATCTGTCCTCCAGCTCTAATGTTAAAAATCTTGGTGTTATTTTTGATCAGGACATGTCTTTTATCCCCCACATTAAAAACATTACTAGAACCACCTTCTTCATAGACTGCTGGAGGGCAAACTGACCACAATTTTCACTCTGCTACTGTCTTTACTTACTCTGCTCAACCTGTTTTGTATTTGTAATTATTTTTTCTATCCTTAACATGTGTTTTTGTCTTTCAGGTACACCTGGACCTACACCTGGACCTGGACCTTTATCTGGACCTGGACCTATATCTGGACCTACCATTTTGTGTTCGTCTGTCTCTCCTTCCTGTCCTCTCAACCAGCCAGTCAAAACAGATGGTCTCTTGTCCTGAGCCTGGTTCTGCTGGAGGTTTCTTCCTTTGAAAAGGGAGTTTTTCTTTCCACTGTCTCCACTGTGCTTGCTCAGGATGGGAGACTGCAACGAAGCCAAGATTCAACTTGTCTGCTGGATTCCTTAGATAGAGAACTTTACTAATTGGCTTTTATGTGTATGTGAATGTTTCTGTAAAGTGCCCTGAGACAACTTTGTTGTGATTTGGCGCTGTAGAAATAAACTGAATTGAATTGTTTAGGCTGCAAACTCACATTTCTTTTTATGAAGGTACCTTAATAAAATGTTTTAACACCCAGGCCTGTTAAAGGGTGTGACAGGTGTGTAACCTTTACTGAAAATAGGTAGATTT